GTTTGACTACGTCTTTAATGTGACAATAAATTTAATTTATAAAATATTTTATTTTATTTTTTATTAAAATATTTAAGTTTCAACAAATACACAAGCATTTTTTAGATGTAACAAAGGAAAAGATGAGTTAAATAAATCAACATTATACTAAAATTAAAACAACACCACATAACATGAAACCCGAGAACATCAAAACCAACTTTATGATAGAAGCTAGGTAAGAAATCAATAAAATGCAATAAATCGAAATAGATTAAGGGGGGGAAAAAGAACAAAACTTACCTTGATGAGATCGAACTCAATTTAGGCTTGATCAACCTTGACAAAGTTGACGTCTCAGGCTTTGAGCTCATTGTCTATAGAAGCAACACAATCATCAAACTTGGGAGGCTAAACACTATGGTGGAAGGGATCAAGCGGCAATTTTGGAAGTTAACTTGGGGTTTGACGATCAAAGACAAAGATTGATGCCAAGCCATGGACTTTGTAGATACTTAGGTTTAAGAGATGGATAAGGTAATTTGGGTTTTGATTTGTGTAATACTTAAGGATTTCTTACTTAAGGTTTAAATAAATTTTTTAAGCTTTTAGAGGGTATATATGTGATAGGATTAAATTTGGAGTTAAAATTATAATGAGGTGAGGAACTTAGGGACTAGAACCTTATAATTAAAGCTTAGGGACCAATTAGCAATATTTCCTCTTTGTGAAAACCCAAATCAAATTCAATTCAACAGTTTAAATTTTCTTTCTTTTCTGGAGAACAGGATCGTCTTCTTCTCTCGCAACTTTAGGGATTTGGCCATACTAGACTAAATCTAAGGTAAATCATCTTCTAAAACTTGAAATATTTAGGAATTTGGAATGAAGAGAATGGGTAGAAGCATGGTCGGGATATTGATTTTACTGTAGCAAATGGATTTTGGTATTGATAAAAAGATTGTGAATTTGGGTGGTGACGTGAGCAATTTTTGAAGGGGAAATTATTTATTAGGTGCTTAGTTTCTAATAGTGGGTTGGAATATTTGGGTTTGAGGAAGAGGACAACAGTGGCATGGTTATAGAATTTTATCGTGTAGATGCTTAATAAGCAAAAAATAAATTTTACTTGGTGATTGAATTATGTATACTAGATATTCATTTAAGTTTCAAGTAGTTACGTGGTAATTGCATTTTGAAGGATAGTTATTGGGATAAGTAGCTATACCCTCTAATATTTTTTAAAAGTAAATCACAAATTTAAATAGGTTTTGTCTAGTTTTGATTAATTTATCTATTTGTTTATTCATTTTCTTGGAGAATGATTTTTACCAAAATATTTTTAATGATGGAATGAGATGATTGTGGACCGAGCATAATATTTTTATTAAAGTTTGAGATGAGATTATGGCCATGTGGAGATAGCTAATTTTAATTTGTTTCTCTCCAATATTATTAAAATGGTTATTTTTGGAATAGTTTCTTTTGTTGTCTTGGTTGTATGATTAACTCTTGTGAGGGTTGAGTTATTGGTATTGTGATAGACCCTAGATCTATGAATTGTGTATTGTGGATTATGGATTGTATATTGTGGATTGATGATTGAGTATCATTGATCATGAATTGTGGATTGTTACATAGTTAAAATGGACGAAAAATGAAATATTTTGGTTTCAAGGAAAGAAATGTACTTTTATTGTTTTATTTTCAATAAAAATCCAATTTTAAATTTCTATGCTTGGTCTTGACGAATGGGTATACTACTTACGGAGTTCTTGAACTCATATTTTCAAATTTCATCTCATTTCAGGTAAAGAAGTATGAGCATTGGGTTTTGCATGGAGATTGAGAGACCGTTAGAGTAAATTAGTAGAAATTTAGCAATAGCTCAATTGGAAGCTTATTTGATTTTATGGAATAAGATATTAATCATATTATGTTTTGGTTAAGAGATTTGATTTTGTTATTTGGAGACTATTAAGATTTGTTAATTGAATTGTTTATTTTAAAGTTGCAAGGCTACATTAAAACCTTATTGGAGATTGTATTGACATACAAGTAGATGGCTTTACACATTTATGGAGTTATCCTATAAATGTGTGGTGTTTGTTATGCCTAAACCTATGGGTTGGGGCGTGACAATTTGTTTCTTGATTGAGAGGCCACGGGCATGTTGACAATAGATTGGAAAAGGAGGTGGCATGAAAACACTCGGCGGCAGTGGGTTCCAACATGGAAATTGTTTAGCGACCATCGAGAAGGAGGTTCGGCAGTGATGATGAAGAAATGGGATTTCATTTTTTTTTTTTTTTTGAGAGGAGAAACTAGGGTTTATTTAGGTATTCTAGTTTTTTAAAAAAAAATTACAAAGGTGGTGTGAAAAGTGTTCTTCGAAGTTCTTAGGTAAATTAAAGAATAATTAAAGAATTAATTAAAGAATTAAAGAATAATAATAATAAATAATAAAGTTATATATATAGTTTATAAATGTAAATAGGTGTAAACACACCATCTAAATATAAAAAAGTCTTTAGGATTTTAATTTTAATTAAAGAATAAATAATAATTTTATATATTTTTTATAATAATAATATAATAATGTAATAACAATAATAAGTGTAAATAGGTACAAACATACAATCAAGTTTAATAAAACAAATTATTTAGTCTAGTTTATATATATATATATATGTGAGTGTGAATAGATGTGAACACACACTATGAACATATGTGAATAATTATAAAAAGTTTTTAGGATTTTAATTTTAATAATTAAAGAATAAATAATAATTATATATTTTTTATTTATAATAATATAATAACAATAATAAGTGTGGATAGGTATTAACATCAACATACAGTGTACTGGTGTGAACAAACTGATTTCAATCTAATTTGAAATCCAATTCAGGGATTTATAATTATGAATAAGTGTGAACGCATAAATATTGGTTCCAATTTAGTTTGAATTCAGTTCAAGGGTTTAAACAGAATAAATTATCTAATTTATAAGTGTGAACAAATGTAAACACATAATGTAAACATAAAGGGGTTTTTTGGGTTTTGCTTTAATTTAATTTAATATATCTTTAGATATTGCCATGACCTAGCCACGTTAATATTACTCGAACATATGCTATTATGACATAATGGCATTCGTCCTATTTTTTGTTTTTCTAGTGGATGAAGGAAGATTGGTCTTAAGTAAACTAAATTATTCATGCGAATTCATGTTTTACAATTTTTATGACCGGTTTAGGACATTAATAATAAATAAACTATATATATATATATATATCATTAATAATAAATAAACTATATATATATATATATTTATCGTGTGGTCAACATGTTATAAAGCCCACACAGGACATATTAATTTTCAATGGAGCACAGGTTTAGGTCTACAAGCCGTGCTCAGTCAGAATTTTAATTAGAGTTTGTGCAAGATCACATGAAATGGGTAAGCATTTTCAGGTATAGGTCTGGTATAAAATATATTGAATATTTGATTTGAAAATATTTTGTATAACATTTTAGACTTGGTATTTACCTAGATATTTAAAGGCTTATATTTGATACTTAACTTGCAAGCATATACTTATGTTTTGTTAAATGATATTTTGTTTTATTTTTATTTTTTCAAATTAAAGTTTAATAAAATAATATTTATTTTCAATCTAAACTTAAATAAAATTAATAAAATTTTAATAAAATATTATTTATTACAATATAAACTTAAACATGGTATTTACCTAGATATTTAAAGGCTTATATTTGATACTTAACTTGCAAGCATATACTTATGTTTTGTTAAATGATATTTTGTTTTATTTTTAT